ATTCCGATAGAAGGAGAGAAAAAAGTAAAAGTATGTTACATACAAATTAACTATTATATTTCTCTGATTTTTAAAAGAGAGAAATTTTCCTTCAAATTATATTGATGAACTTCTTATTAAACTATCTTAAGATGCATTTATGATATGATAAAATGTGACAGGAATGAGCGTCTTGCCATATTTATGAGATCTAGATAGCAAGCTAGATATTATTATCGTTTCAAATCGTGATTTCTCGACGTGCGCATATATCTAATGCGCAATATGTTACGGAGAGTAATTAGGCCACGTGCAGTCTCCGCGACTTTGGCGTCGGGTATATTTGATTATCTGATTCAGCTGGACCGTATGAGATGGCCGCGAATAGATATACGCGTAATGTCTAACGTAGATTAATAATGATTGCGCGTGTATATACGCTACATACGACCCAGCATATTCATTAAAAAAAAAACAAAAATTTAAAAAAAAGAAAAATGCTTTTGACAAGATATCTGCATATGCAGAGCTCGATTTTGCAAATAATGGAAGAGAAATTAAATTGAAAAGTAAAAAATTGAAGAAACAATACGTTTTTCGTACGTGTAAAATATATAATAAAATCTCCAATAAAAGACTTTGTACGCAATATAATTAAATGTATAATAAAAATTCTGTGTGTTATATAAGTTCGTAAGAAAATCTCTCGTAATAAAATAGAGCAATCGTTTGCAAACATGTTTGCGAATTGACACACACATCGTTCTGCGGAATGTCCGTGCTTCGCGGAGGAAAGTTGCATCCGTCGAACGCAGCAGTATTAAAGCTACTCGCCCTCTCTTTAGCGAACAGTGCGTCAAAAGTACCTTGCCAGTGAGTAGTAATTGAGCGTAATGGTTCTTATCGGCTGATTCGTGCGTCTATAATCGGCGTTCTATGTTCGCCGGGGGCGTTAATTTTTTGCGCAAGTATTTACATTCCGATGCAGCAAGCGCCTTCGAGCAAACGCCGTCGAGTTCGCGAGAGTTATTCTACTCGGGCGTATTTTCGAGACACCCCATGTCGATCAAGGTCGAATATAGAGCATTCTGAGAACAACGATCGTGTAATATTCCGAGTAAAGATTTAATTCAAATCCAGCATGGTTTCGAATGCACGTTTTATCGATTATTAATTAAAATATATGAAGGCAAATGTGCAGAATTATAATAATTGACACGCGATATTTCTAAGCAATATGATTAATGAAAACACCTATTAAATACACCGAGTTAATATAAGCATTAAATTAACGAAGGCATAATTCAAGACAATAAAGTATATAATTTGCATTTCTAGCAAGTGTCATATCAAACTAATTGAATTGAGTTCCCAAGTTAATTTTTTATACATGCATTATAATCGGATGTGCATCTTAATTAGATTTAATTTGCAATGTAATAATTAATGACACAAATTTGAGACGCTCGTGCCCGTGCATTCGCTTGATGCATAATATTTTCGCTTCGCGGATTAAAAGAAGATCTCTCAATCTTGATCCTTCAACCTTGATCCACTTCTTGCGAGATCCTCGCATTTGGTCCATGTCTTCGAGATTGATCGAAATTGAGAGATTTATCTCACTTCTCGATCGATTTTCCCCGAAGAGTCCATCTCGTCGCCGTTGAAACGATTAGCCTCGCCGTTTTTTAACTAATCAACATGTATTCTTGCTACGTGCGTGTATGTATAACGTGACATTAATATCTGCTGTCTCTTTGAGCGATGTGCCCGCGGTTCCTAAATTTTATACATTATTGCTTTTCCACGTTGCGCACGCACAACTTGTCCTGCGCTCTTTTTCCTCTTGTTGGTTTAACACAATAGTTTCTATTAAATTGTCATTATTAAATAAAATATTTGTTTCCTGTCTCGTTAAAGAATATTATTAATTATTAGTCAAAATTAACAAACACACATCGGAAAAAGATATAAGTCAATCTTGTTCAATTATATTATTTATCTGAAATACGAGAATATCAATTTCTATTTACCTTATGTATATCGCAAATTTACAAATAGCACGGACGTAAAATTTTCAGTGTTACGCTTGTAAACTGTCTACATCGGCTTTCAATTAATATTACATTTTAAAATAAATAACAGTTGATCATTAATAATGGAAGAATAAAATACCAATATCCATGTTTATATAATTATTTCGTCATGTGCTATAATATCACTTACACTAATTTTTAACGATTTTTTTGTGACGATAATTTAGGAAAGAAAGCGCAGAAAATAAGTGGCTTGCACAAACGCACTCTCGCATTTCGCACGCAGGACTCCCACAAAAAAGACGCAACTCACATTCGCGCCTAAGATCGACGAATGCTACCTAATTGAATTTCCGTATTATAACTTGTCGTCTTATTCGTACTTGTCGTCCATGTACAAACAATATGACAGCCAGAACGCGCTGGCTGTCCGCCTTTATCTCGCGCGTTACCTATATTTATATTTATATATGTATATGCACTTACATAACGTGTATTTATAGAGTATAGTACGCATAGAAGGACTCTATTTATTTGCCGTATTGTTCCTGCCACTACATTGTCTAGCGAGTTTCCGTTAGTTAACTCCGGAGGGTCACATGGATTCGCCTGAAGCTTCAGCACAATTATAATCCTCGGGATCCCATCTGACGGATTCTCATTACTTTGTTTAAAGGGCGAAAGTCGCAAGGATAACGAAAGTCCTCGTAATAATTGTTTCGTTCGTTGCATTCTCATCGACTCTTCGTATAATCCATATCTACTTTTAAAGATTTATTCTTTATATTTATTGATTGCAATTTTTTACGATAATAAAAGTAGAAAGATAAATAAGTAATAGATAAATTAGAAAATTAAAATTATTAAATTAAAATAAGAGAAACTATAAAATTATTTTTAAAACAATAATTTTTACGATTGAGATAAAAGAAAACGAGATTTAAAACATATGAGATTGACAATGTATATATTTTTATTTTTATTATTTCTTCATAATTAGTTGAGCGTTTGGTTATAAAAAAAAGAAATAAATCATTAATAAATAATATGAATGTGTAATAATTTTTTAGCACAATTAAAAAGCATAAAGTATGTCTTAAACTTAATTAAAATTTTATCTATATTCAGCTATTTTGTTTTTATGATAAATGAATCTTGATACGCTCAGAATTAGAAAATATATTGAATTTTTTGTACAAACATATTAAATTCTTTTATTCAAAATAAATTAATGATAAAAGAATCATTAAAACTTGATATCAAATTCAGATTATTTTTGAAATTCTTGAAGAGCATTGAATTCATTATATTCTAATGCCATCTGAAAAAAAGCGTGATAGTAGTGATGAATCCATCGCAGGAAGGAATAATTACAGGAATCTCGAGGATTATTAATCGCCGGTATCGAGATTATGATCGAGTCAGCGGAAGGACTTCTCTAGCCTGCTGAATAATTCCGGTTCGTGAATTTCTGAGTAATTTGTAAATGTCAAGCATTTGCCTACCGTTTACAAGTTTTCCGCTTCGTATCTCCCTCTCGTCTTCCAGGCTGACAAATCGACCGCTTATATAGGAATGCCTTCCATAGTCACGAACTATTGACACTGCGCGTCGTAATTATGGAGACGCGAGGCGTCGCTCACATTGATATTTGTCGCTTTTATCGATGTCGTCAGGTGATAAAATAATCAATGACATAAATACGAAAGATAAAAGAGCGAAGGAAATAAAAGTATACCTACATTATGAATAATCCACATTGTTCAGATGTTTAACGAATAAATTATCTTCTTTATAAGTAAGAAAAAATTGTATCTATTTTTCAATAACATAGTTGTTTTTATTTTAAGCAAATTAATAAATCATACATTAGATTTGCGTTAAATTTTATTAATTTTTAAAATATAAATAAAATGTAGAATGTGTTCGAAAATTTATATATTTATATTTAGTAAGTCGATATTAATTATCTAGTTTTGAGGCCATCTTTTATTAACAAAAATCTGATTGGACGATTTGTCTTTTAAATTTTCTGAATCGTCTATATTTCTAATAATATTTAAACATAATTATAGCTCAACAATACTGATAAGATAATGATAAAAAATTGAGAGATTATTTTTACTAATTATAAGATCGGTTAAGTGTAAAATACATCGACATGAGAAAACTTGGAAACGCGTGGGCCACGATCGACTTTTTTCGTTCGATCGTATTTCCAGCCTATGTCTATTACACACCTTTTTTTATACTTATGTCACTATAACAATCTACATTTATCTACACACTCGAGCCTCTCGCGACGCACCGCAGATGCACGTATGATTTCGGGTTTAGGTTTCAACTTTAACAAACACCTAATGGTCCAGTACAGGAGGAGATTTGCGTTGCTTGGCTATTAATTATACAGTAGATCAGTGCTTAGCCATTTATACAGATCTCTCGCGCTATGATCGATTTATTATACACGCGTCGTATCCTAGTTTTGAACGACCCCGAATCGCGCTTACCGTTCTCTATCTCGATTTCTCTCGTTTCTCGTAAGGTTAATTTCAATATTACGATTTTTTCCATTTATTTTTTATCTACTCGATTTTTTGAATGCCTACCTTTTTTCGATTAACTTGCCGAGATTGTTACCTGACCGATTGCATCGAAAGTGCAATGCTGACTTCGTGCGAAATGTTTAGTTTTTGTTTACGCTAACATTGTAATATCAACAATTATATAATCGCGAAAATCTTTAACATTTAAAAATAAATACTTCGAATATATACATATATGTATAATATCTTTCAACAATTTGCAATAAAGTATTCAATTCATAGCTATCCGCAAACTCTGCGTTAATTGACTACCTCAACATGATTCTAACAAGTCTAATTTTTCTGCCAGTCATGATTAGGCATCAAGAGAAGAAACTTATTCTATATATATTTTATATAGAATATATATCATTTATATTTATATGTATATAAGCTAACTTTACGTATTAAAACGCAAAAATTTCGATTATTTAGTTTTTAATGTTTTCCAATGTATATCTCAATTATTCTCCATTAATCATTCATTTGCAAATCATCGTGTAATCAAACATCAGCACCGCGCACGACTGTTAATGCTTGTGAAGCAACTCTTGTGTTGAAGTTACGTCGATTGCATGTCGATCGCGCGACAATCTCGTCACAAGACACTTCTGACGGGGAATTACATATCGAATGCGTAAAATGAAAACGCAATTGGCCAATAATTTCCATTTGATTTCGCGCATTCGACAAATGTATTCTCGTATCAAACTCGACTCAAAGTGACTTCAATCGTCAAAAGTATCATCGATCATTCGTCGATAATCCTTTGAGTATCGAGCAGCATAACAGTATTACTTTCTGTATGAATTATTATCCAATAGAATATATCTTTATTCAGAATTATTAGCATCTGTACTAAATGTTTTCGAAATGCTGGAACTTGCAATGAATATATTGTTACAATATCTGTATGAATTATTCATTTTGTTATATGCATTTTGAAAATAGAAAACTCTCAAATCGCGATTATTATTATATATTGATAGTTTCAGTGCAATTTCAAACATGTGCAGTTTCTTTAAATATCCTAATATTCTTTATATAATTATATAGCAAAAAGTATGTAAAGAAGATAAAATAAATAAGAGCTAGAATATGCTAAAATTAGGAATATTTCTCTCTTTGTAAATTTAACATTTTATTCTAAGAAAATAACTTCCTACGCAATCATTGCACGTTCCAATATTAAATTCGGAATTATTCGGATCGCGGCAATTAAAGGATTAAGAACGAGACTCGATGAGGCTACATATCGAGATACGGTAACAAAAATACCATTAAATATATCATATGCATTTAATAATATTTTGAACGGCGCGATTCGCGATCGTGAAACGTGTGTAGGAATCATCGTGCGGATCTGTCGATCAATCCTTACAATACATAGATCACGGCGATCGAGGAGAAGGTGAAAAAGCCTTCTCTTCGTTGTTCTGTAGCCTTCAAGGCCACCAGTCCTCTTTCTTCCGGATAAATTCCACTGTCGGAATTTCCGTGACCGCGTGTTCGCGACACGTGGCGATCCTTCGCGAGGGAGAGGTTCGATATAGATTTCTTATGGAGTTTCTACGGTGTCCCTGTCACGAATCGAAAAGATATGTCGAACCGAAAAGGTAGACTGCCAGTAGAACGACGAGAAGCGCTGACGATGACCTGAAGACAGCAGCCTCGTTACTATATGGCATTTTTACCTCGACCTCGGCCATCTTGAAGATCGAGAGCAACGGATGCGAATGCACTTCGTGGTGCTTGTTGTTGATCTTGTCGCTGAGATCTTGCATCATTGACGCGCACTCCTCCTGCAAATCGAATATCCCGATCAGTGCGTTTGTAAAAAAGTGTCTAGTTCAATATTAAAAAATTCAAAGCAGATTCTAATTCAATAAATTTTAACTTTTGGCACTTATGTATTTATAATATTAATATTTATTTAATATTTAATCGAGAATATTTTTTTGATATCTATTATGATAATCATATTCTTGATTGGAATCTAATGTTCCAATATAGTTATAAATTCGCAAAATACTCCCTTTAAATTCATATATGATAATGTGTTCTCCTCTAAAGTTTTTGTTTATTTTTAGATTCTTCATATAATTTTATACAAATATAAAATATAAAAATGATTTACGAATATAAACAAGCATTCCAAATAAAAGAAGAAATATTCGCTTTTAAGTCTCAAGGCACATATTACAAATAAAAATTGATTTTTTTCAATAATTTGATCTATATGTAATTAATATTGTCATGTTTTGGCAACAAAGTGTATTATGATTAATAATTAATACATAAAAATGGATTAATCAGAATTGATAAAATTTGTATTTAAGAAAAGTTACCTAGAAAGAATTTGCAAATGAAAAAACAAAGACAGCCGTAGTAAATTCTAAATCGTTATATAATGATCCGAATAAATTCTCTCCGCGAAAGTATAATCTCCGCAAAAACACACGTATTTTCCGCTTCACTATCGATAGTTGTTCTTGCAGAATTCGAGTTTCTCCCGAATACGATTTAACGACGTCGAATGTTCTCCCTCCTCCCCCATTTTCTTCATTCCCTACTTTCTCCCAGACCGAATTCGGCATCGATTTCCATTTTCAACCCTCTCCCGCTACTCTCCACGTGCGATTCTTGTTCCCCGTCCCCAAAATTACCCTCGGCTCGTTGAATCTTTAATTTCCGGCGTAGAAATCCGTGAGACTGAAAGCGATTTTTGGTGATATCTTTCTGGTGCGCCACGTGGCCCAACCAGATTTCTCGTCGCCGGCGTTTCGTTCGCTCGTTTCGCGCCGAGCGAGGTTTTCAATGAGATTAAATTCCGCGTGCAAGCTGGAATCTTGCGCGAATAACTTCGCCGTGACGAGCCGGCGTAGCTTTCAGCATGGAATGAAACTTTCGACGAATTCGATGAATTATAGTTTTGCTGTCCATGAAAAAGAACATTCGGCTAAGTTATCTAATGTGAGATTACGTTTTTGAACAATCTATTAAAAATATACAAACTCTAAACAAATTTAATTATATGTATACACTCTTAACTTGATCATATTTTTAGTGTCTGTGAGAAAGAACGTGCGGATGAACTATCTTAATTTGAGATATATTTTCGAATCCACTAAAAATGCATTTTTAACGCAAAATGATTTAATAGTGTTTTCATGGTCTTAATATTATAAAAAAAATGTTTATTTCTGTCTCGAGAAAGGAAGATATTTATTTGAATAATTTTTATAATTGCGACGATATATATCTGATATTTCTATATTAGATAATAGATAAGATCTAATATTTAATATAAAAATATCAGATCTATTTCTCTGAAATTCATATAGAATGATTGTTTATATCTTCTTCGCGATATAAGATATTTTATAGAATACTTGTGACATGTCACGGCAACAGTAAAGATATCGCGAACATTGCAGTGTATCCGTATATTCGGTAATTAACTCGTAGCGAGCGAGAAACTCGGGACTACAATTAGCACGAGCCAATACGTAAAATGAATTATCGCACTGGGCTTTTGTCCGGCTGTGTTTAGGTCATTACTGTTTCGCGCAATTCCATTCAATTAGCCTAAAAACCTGGCCAGACACATTCTCGGTATGTTTCGCGGTTTCTTTTCATCTATAGTAAAAATGGCAAGCATGTCGCATAAAAATAAAGAAAAGCAAGTTAGAATTTTCAATTGCATAGAAATATAAAAATCTTTAAAAACATTTTTTAAACTTAATTTTTTTTCGCAAGTGATTTTCGTTATAACGTTATAACTTGAAAGAATGTGTGGAAAAAAACTTAAATATTATAAATATTACATAAATGAATAAAAAGAAAATAATTGTATAATAAAAAGAAAATAGTAATAAAAAAGAGTAACAATAAGAAAATAATTTTATAATGTAATTTATAATTTATTTTGGCAAATTATAGCCCTGCAAAGATTTTTCGATCGTAAAACGAGCATAAACGAGCTCATTGTTTAAAAATTTTGCGTTGTATAATTTGTGCTTTAAATAGAACGGTTGAGTATGTGAAAGTCGCTGGTTACTTATTTTACTTTTTGCTATATCATCATAATTTTGTTACGACGAGAAGTTGGGGAGGCTTTTAATTGCTATGTGTGTGCTCGGTTTCCCTGCCAGAATAATCCAGCTTTGAATGCAAATGCGCGGCGTGGCTTTTTTTTCCATCGGGATTATCCGGCAGATTCGCAACAGTATTGTATGCTGCGAATATGTAACTCCTACTTTTTTACCTCGTGGATTGCGCTGCTTATCTCTCGTCGTGCTTTAACATCAGCCGACACGTGCTTAATTTTTTCCCTGGATAATATTTTATTTAATCTTGCCTCAGAACATGAAATAATACATATATAACATACGTAGAATGATCTTCCATGAGATTCTCTTTGTTTCTTTAGCGAAAAATCAGTCCCACAGTGGAAATGCTAAATAATTCACAACAGGAATTTTAATGAAGTTAAATAAACCCAAATCATTTTTAAAATTCAAATTAGATAATTTTATAGAGGTTTGTGTTCATGTTGCAAATGTATATTGTTTTATTAAATGTATTGTTGATTAAATTAATTAATAGGAACATTAAATAAAGAAGACTTTATTTTGCGTAACAATAATTATATGCTTTTAATTAATAATGCTCTTTTAATTAATAATACATTATATATATTAAAAGTATTTGATATTTCAAATAAGGTTGTTCAATAAATATAAAATAATTACATGCACAATAATATCTTTCATGTATCTGTTTAATAAACAATATTTCGCTATTCAATTTTTCTTAACAATTGTTAACTATTGCTCATTAATTTTTTTCTTCGAAGAAGTATTCTCATTATAATAATTGTATTGCCCTATTGAAATAATTAATAGTGATCGAAATGATTAATAGTGATCAAATCGATCATGAATTCCCGCGATTTCATACTGAATGTAACATTCCGTTGTTTACGCTGGTTGTTTAACGTTATGCTTTAATTAATGCCAAACCGTGCCACACGACGAAACTCACCGGTAGGTCGATGGTTGTTCTAATTTACGCTCTCTTGTATTATGCGGTACGTGCCTCTTCTACCATATTAATCCATGGTTAGAAGTACATCCGTATTACGTCGCGTTTCGAAATTGTGTTCTGAAATAATTTCGCTTTACAGGCAGATACGCGCTAATACAATTATTCGGATATTTGCGAATGTACGAGTAAATATATACAGGTAAAACTAATAAATTATTTACATAAATATCTAATTTTAGAAAGTCTGCTATGAATAATGTTGAATTTATCCACAAAGGATCCGCAATGTAAGCGATCCTAAGCGGCTTAGGAATGAAAATTATTAAGGCCATGATCATAGGTGGAAATTAATTTCAGTAAATTTTTATTGAGGTTATTTTTTATCAAATCATTTATATATAATAAAAAATTTAGAATCAAAGTTAAAAGTAATCGATATTTTGAAACACGATAAATTCCATACCTTTTAACACGCAAAATTCTCAAAATTGCATTTATATAATTTCCAAAATAATTGTTAAGTTATTATTTTACTTATGAAATATCTAACATTATATATAATACAATAAAAATTAAGTTAAGAAATTCAATCAAATATATAAATTACATTCATTAATAGTACGATTGAAAATTAAGGTCCTTTTCAAATAACAAAAAACAAATACAAATCGAAATAATGCTTAATTTTAAAACTATTAATTATGGGTAATATGTTAGTCTAAGAGTTTTTAGAAAGAGCGCGCAAAATAAGAGATTTTAAAAAATAAAAATCAAACTTCTTTTATGTTCAGTAGTACAGTTCAAAATTATTCAGACTTTCCTTAAGTAGTATAAACTGAAACTAAGCAGCAGTAATCGTGGAACAGTAATTGTGCTTATCATAGAAAATCAATAACTCCAAAGAAATGTCGTAAGCTAAAGTGCAGCACTAAGACTCGAGCATGATCGTGCAGTTCCCTACAAAGGACGATCTCAATTCGCGATCACCGGAAACTAATGGTTCTCCTTACAGCTGGCGTCGTCACGGGATCGGCCATTTATCCCCGCGTGAATGAAGACAGGTGCAAGATGCAGTGTAGTGCACCGGCAGGTGCAACTGCAGCTGACGATGGGGCAGGTACTATTATCTCTTCCGTCAGAAGGAATCCCTTATTAATGATCGGCTAATTGAATTTCTGAACGTAGGAGTGATTATGTCAAAACGTGGCGTCGTGCATGTTGACAGGAAAGAGAAGAGATACGAGATATACAAGGTGTTCTCAGTTTTTTTTTTTCAAATTTTCTTTCTGATACAAATTTTTTGATTGCTTTAAAAATATTATTACTTATTTTAATAAATAATTTTTTGAAATATAAGCAATTAAACAATTTAAATACTTTTAACTTTAGTAATATGCAAAGGAAAAATAATATCTTATATATTTCTTATATATTTTTTATCTTATTTTGAATGTATAAGCTGTATTCAGACAATATATATTTCATAAAAAAATTATTAAAAAAACAATATTCAAAATTAAATTAAATTAATTTATATAAATATTACGCGGAAAAGTCTCTAAATTTTTGTGAAAATTTTTTATAGAAAACTAATTAACATATTATTGAGAAAGTAAAGCGAATTCTGGAGCACTCAGTATGCAGTTAGTAGCAGATAGATCTATCTTATAATAGCGATCTCTCTATTGGACCTTGCTTCTCGCCCAATACCCTCTCTTTCAATCGGCCAAATGCATTTGATATCAGGGAACGC